TGACCAGTTTTCCCAGCACCACTTGTTAAAGAGGTTGTCTTTTTTCCATTGTATATCCTTGCCTCCTTTGTCGAAGATAAGGTGACCATAGGTTCGTGGATTTATCTCTGGGCTTTCTATTCTGTTCCATTGATCTATATTTCTGTCTTTGTGCCAGTACCATACTGTCTTGATGACTGTGGCTTTGTAGTATAGTCTGAAGTCAGGCAGGTTGATTCCTCCATTTCCATTCTTCTTTCTCAGGATAACTTTGACTATTCGAGGTTTTTTGTATTTCCATACAAATTAACTACGTAGTTTTAACCTAATTAACAACCCTCATGAGTTGTTATAAAAAGGATTTCTGTACTGTACTAGAACAAAGTTTAACTTAGATGACTTCTATGATTTTCTAAGTAATTCATTTATTTAACAGATATGTAATCAGCACCTACTATGTACCAATTTTTCTGTAGGAATCAGAATTAACCAGATTACAAGCCAAAATTTCTGGACATGAAAGGGCAGAAGACATCAAATCTCTACCAGCCTCATTTACATCTCCAGTAGAAATTACGCCTGATATTCAAGATTCAAAATTAGCTAAGCATTCTCACACAGCTTTTTTCAAGTGTAGAAAACTACGTCGCTCTATTAGTGCCAGTGATCTTAGTTTCAGAACTCATATTGATGAAGATCTTTCTGAAGAATTACTACAGGACTTAAAAAAAATGCAATTGGAACAGCCTTCAACATTAGAAGAAAGCCAGAGAGATCTAACTTATACCCAGTCAGACTCATTTAAACCTCTCACATATGACCTCAGTGATGATAATTCTGAGAATAATGACTTCAGTACTCTGAGTGGAATGCTAAGATACATAAACAAAGAAGTGCGACTATTAAAAAAATCTTCTATGCAAACAGGTGCTGGTTCAACTCAGGTATGTAACTTACGTTAGAAGTTATAATAATTTGTCTCCAATGAGGATCATTTTCTTTTTTTAAGGAAAAATACATATATTTAGATAAAATACTCATGTCATTAGGTGATGTGCACAATTATTGAAAGTATGAAGAAACTCCTTGTAAGTTCAGAACGCTTTTACCTAGACAAGTAGAGTTGAAAATTTAGCTTTTAAAATTAATTTTTGTTAAAATAGGCTAATATTTGATTAAGTAGAATCTCTATACTTGATTAAAGACTAACTCTACTTCATATTAGGAAAGTATTTTTAACTCCAGAATACTGGAGAATGTTTTTTGGAGTGCTAAAATTAGTTGTGTTCCTGGACTTCGTCAAAACCATTCTAGTAAAGATTATTAAGGTAGCCTTTTGTTTTGATCATAGGCTTCCTAGTGACTCAGAATATCGCATTCACATGATTTTTCTACTTCCATTATTTCTTGAACATACCATACTGAAGAGGCAACTTTATCACTGCTACACATACATTACAGACTACTTGACATTGTTTTTAAGCAGTTAATCTATAGTGTGCACACAGAAATAAAGATTTCTTTCAGGTAATTTCACCTTTTTTGAAATGTCCCTTTTCCTCATTTCAAGCATATCAGAAGTAGGTTTGGTGGCCTAAAATGTTTAAAAAGTGTTTTTTGAATGGATCCAAGACAGACTGTTGGAGCTTTTATTCATTTCTCCACATCCTTCCTTACATGATTAAAAAGAACTTAATTTGGAACTCCCTGTTGGCATAGTGGGCTTCCCTGGTGGCTCAGATGGTAAAGAATTCGCCTGTGATGCGGGAGACCTGGGTTCAATCCCTGGGTTGGGAAGATCCCCTAGAGGAGGAAATGGCAGCCCACGCCAGTATTCTTGCCTGGAGAATCCCCACGGGCAGAGGAACCTGGCAGGTTACAGTCCGTGGGGTAGCAAAAAGTCAGACATGACTGAGCGACTAAGCACAGCGGCTAGCCCAGTGGTTAGGATTCCAGGCTTTGACTGGATTCACCCCCTGGTCAAGGAACTGAGATCCCACATTGTTAGTTTCCTTTCTTGGATTTTCTTAATGGTTAATTATTTTGTCAGTTCCATTCACAATAAAGCCTCTAGCAGAGTAGTATTTTGCTTTCAGGTTTTGACAAAAGCTTCAAAAACTCACAGAAAGTTACACACACACACACGATTTTGAACACAGTTTTCAAGAGTTCACACAAATGTCAAGTTAAAAAGTCCTGCTTTAAAGCAGTGGAAGTGTTGTGAGTTAATTAGCTGATTCACAGTTTATTAGGAACTTGAAAGAAGTATTGTTTATCCATTTTGTTTAAAAAAAAAAAAGCAGTTTTCAAAAAATGGTCTGTATACCATGCTGTAAGATGAAAAATAAGAATTGAGAAAATCAGTGATTAGGTAACAATTAAAAGTATAAGGGAAAAAAAGGATGAAGTGGGAGTACAAGTAAATACCTAGAGACATGATAACATTTTCAAATTCCTAGCCCAGGTAAAGATCAAGATATGACAAGAATATTTGACTTGTAGTGTTAGAATCTTCTGACACATTTCCCTCTATGTTTCTACTTCTCTATATTGTGCTACTTCTTTGTACAATCATTTCTGTCCTGTCTTTTTTCTTTCCTCCTCTGTTTTTCTCTCTTCTCTTTTTTTTCTCTCTTCTGTTTTTCATTGACGTTATCAATTTAATTTAATCTTTCACTCCCTCCTGACCACCCCCCAACCAGAATTGTTTGTATCCATGCAATCTATTACTGACTTTCTGATTCTTGTTTTTGCAATTGACTAAATATTCTCCACTCTTGTTTTAAATTATGCCTCTGATTATTATAGTGGTTTTTTAATGTTAAATCATGATTTCAAATAATAATTTATTATTTTGCATTATTCCAGGGAGAAAATTTATAGTTAAAAGAAGATGTTGATGTGATGAAAAGTGGAAGTTTTGGTACTGTGTAGTGTTTACTTATTATATATAGTTCTTACTTCATATAAACTGCTATTTTATTGCTTTTAAATAAATTTTATATTTTAAGATTTTTAAAGAAAGTTCTTTCTTTTAAAGCTTACTTATACTTTTTGTGAAAATTAATTCAATTTATTCATTATTCTGGTTTGAACTTGCTACTTTCCTTTTCTTTATCTTTTACTTAGAAATCATTATTAAAATGCATAAGTACATTGAATAACATTTTCAATCAGACTGCCATATTACTTGCTTATTTTTCTAGTGATAATTTATTTTTAAAAGAAGTAAGATGAATTTAGAGCTCATTCTGCCACAGGTTCATAATTGTACTAATAATAGCTAACTTTTGTTAAATGTTTACCACTTATCAGGCACTATTTTAGGCTCTTCATATTTATTGACTCATTTAATCCACATAACAATCTTTAAAGTAGATATTACAGGCATACCTCAGAGATATTGCAGCTTTAGTTCCAGACCATTGCAAAAAAGCAGTGAACAAGTTAAATCACAGTAAACAAACATAATTTGTTATGTTTACGTAACTATGTATGTTAGTCTGTGTAGCATTATGTCTTAAAAAAATCAATGTACATGCCTTAATTTTAAAATGCATTTATTTACTAAAAAATGCTAACCATTACCTGAGCCTTCAGCAAGTCATAATCTTTTTTTCTGGTGAAGGATCTTGCCTCTCTCTTGGTGGTTGCTGAAGGTTAGGGGTGACTGTGGCAATTTCTTGAAATAAGACAACAATGAAGATTGTCATATTGATTGACTCGCTCTTCAACGAACAATTCTCTGTAACATGCGGTGCTGTTTGATAACATTACTAACAGTAGGACTTCTTTCAGAACTGGATTCAATTCTCTCAAATCCCGCTTTATCAGCTAAGTTTATGTGATATTCCAAGTCCTTTGTTGTCATTTCAACAAGCTTTACAGCATCTTCACCAGGAGTAGGTTCTATTCCTAGAAACTACTCTCTTTGCTCATCCATAAGAAGTAACCACTCTTTCATCTTGAGATTGTGGCAGTTCCATAAAACTTCAGTTCAGTTCAGTTGCTCAATCATGTCTGACTCTTTGCGACCCCATGGACTACAGCACATCAGGCTTCCAGGTCCTGGAGCTTGCTCAAACTCACATCCATTGAGTCGGTGATACCATCCAACCATCTCATCTTCTGTCGTCCCCTTCTCCTCCTGCCTTCAATCTTTCCCAGCATCGGGGTCTTTTCCATGGAGTCAATTCTTCGCATCAGGTGGCCAAAGTATTGGAGCTTCAGCTTCAGCATTAGTCCTTCCAATAAATAATCAAGACTGATTTCCTTCAGGATTAACTGGTTGGATCTCCTTGCAGTCCACGGGACTCTCAAGAGTCTTCTCCAACACCACAGTTCAAAAGCATCAATTCTTCAGCACTCAGCTTTCTTTATAATCCAACTCTCACATCCATACATGGGGAAGGCAATGGCACCCCACTCCAGTACTCTTGCCTGAAGAATCCCAGGAACGGAGGAGCATGGTGGGCTGCCATCTATGGGGTCGCACAGAGTCGGACACGACTGAAGTGACTTAGCAGCAGCAGCAGCAGCACATCCATACATGACTACTGGAAAAATCATAGCTTTGACTAGACGGACCTTTGTTGGCAAAGTAATGTCCCTGCTTTTTAAAATGCTGTCTAGGTTGGTCATAGCTTTTCTTCCAAGGAGCAAGCGTCTTCTAATTTCATGGCTTCAGTCACCATCTGCAGTGATTTTGGAGCCCAAGAAAATAAAGTCTGTCATTGTTTGCCCATCTATTTGCCATAAAGTGATGGGACTGGATGCCATGATATTCGTTTTTTGAATGTTGAGTTTTAAGCCAGCTTTTTCACTCTCTTTCACTTTCATCAAGAGGCTCTTTAGTTCTTCGCTTTCTGCCATAAGGGTGGTGTCATCTGCGTATCTGAGGTTACTGATATTTCTCCCGCAATCTCAATTCCAACTTGTGCTTCATCCAGCCTGGCATTTTGCATGATGTACTGTGCATATAAGTTAAATAAGCTGGGTGACAATATATAGCCTTGACATACTTCAGGCTCCACTTGTAATTCTAGTTCTCCTGCAGCTTCCCCCACTAAAGTCTTAAAACACCTCCAAGTCATCCAGGAGGGTTGGGATTAACTTCTTCTAAATTCATGTGAATGTTGATATTTTGACTCAGTAATGATATTTTGAATCAGTAATGTTCTTAATGTCATTTAGCATAGTGAATCCTTTCTGGAAGATTTTCAGTTTGCTTTGCTTAGATTCATCAGAGGAATCACTCAGCTATAGCCTTAGAAAAATTTATTTCTCACGTAATAACTCTTTGAAACTAGACATTGCTCCTTGATCTGTGGGCTACAGAATGAATGTTGTGTTAAACAGCCATAAAGACAACATTAATCTAGTTGTACATCTCCATCCAAGCTCTTAGTGGCCAAGACCTTTGTAAATGAGCAGTAGTATTTTGAAAGAAATCTTTTTTCTGAGCACTAGGTCACAACAGTTGGATTCAGATATTCAGTAAACCATATTGTAGACAGATGTATTGCCATCCAGGATTTATTGTTGCATTTACAGAGCACAGGCAGAGTAGATTTAGCATAATTTTTAAGGGCTATGGGATTTTCAGAATGGAAAATGAGCATTGGCTTTAAGTCACCATCTGCGTTAGCCCCTGACAGAAAGTGAGCCAGTCTTTGCAGCTTTGAAGCCAGTTATTGACTTCTCCTATCTATCTATGAAAGACCTGAATGGTATCTTCTTTCAATCAAAGGCTATTTGGTCTACGTTGAAAGTCTGTTGTTTAGTGTAACCACTTTCATTAATTATCTTAACTAGATCTTCTTAACTAAATGACTTGCTTTAGCTTCTGTTATACATCAGCATTTGCTGCTTCACTCTGTAATTTGATGTGGGGAGGTGGCATCTTTCTTAACCTCATGAACCAGCATCTGCTGGCTTCAAACTTTTTTTCTGCAGCTTCCTCACCTCCCAGCCTCTACAGAATTGAAGAGCATTCAGGCCTTAATTAAGAGCTGGACATAACTGAGCGACTCAGCACAGCACAGCACAGCACAGGGCCTTGATTAGGCTTTGGCTTAAGGGAATGCTGTGTCTGGTTTGATATTCTATTCAAATCACTAAAACTTTTTTCATATCAACAATTAGTAACATAAAGTACTGAGGAAAAAATTTGATGTGAGACATGAAACCTGTATGTTAAAAAGTTCAAAACATTGCTAAGACAAAGATTTAAAGAAATAGAGAATATATATCACATGCTTGGTGTTCATTATTGCTAAGATGTCAATTCTCTCCCAAACTGATTAATGTATAGATTCAGTGCAGACCCAAAAAGAATTCCAATAGGTTTTTTTCTTTTTCTTTGAAGAAGTCAACAAGCTGATTCTAACAGTTAATTGGAAGTGTTAAGGACTTAGAGTAGAAAAATAATCTGGAAAAAGAACGGAGTTGGAAGACTTACACTGTGCTACCTAATTTCAAGAATTATTATAAAATTACAATTCAGTAGATCCAAAAATGAGCTCATAAATGTATCAGTGGAACAGAACAGATTATGTACTTATATATTTATATGATTTAATATGTATTTACATATATAATATGTAAAGGTATATATTTAATTGATTTTCAGCAAGGCACCAAAGTAATTCAATTTTGCAAGGAAAGTCCTTAACCAATTATGATGGAATTTTTGGAGAAACCAAAGGGGAAAAAATAATCTCAACCTCTACCTCATATTTTTTAAAATTAAGTTAGGGTGGCTCATTGACCTAAATGTAAAAGCTAAAAGTAAAAAAATTCTAGAACAAACAGAATAACCTCATGACTCTGAAGTATGTAGAGAATTCTTTGGACCCAAAAAGCGCTAGTTACAAAAATTAATAATTAGTTGATCAAAATTAAAAACTTCTTTCAAATCTCTCACCATTAAGAAAATGAGAGCTTCATTGGTGACTCAGTGCTAAAGGATCTACCTGCCAATGCAGGAGACACGGATTTGATTCTTAATCTAGGAAGATCCCACATGCTGCGAAGCAGCTAAGCCCATGCGCCACAACTGTTGAGCCTGTGCTCTAGAGCCTGGGAGCCGCAACTACTGAAGCCCCTGTGCCCGAGAGCCCGTGCTCGCAAGAGAAGCCACCATACTGAGAATCCCACTCAGTGCAATAGAAAGTAACCCCCATGTGACACAACTAGAGAAAAGCCTGTATAGCCTCAGCCCGCTTTAATAAAATAAATTATTTTTAAAAATGAAGATGCATACTACAGAGCAAGAGCTATAAATATATGAGACATAAAACTTGTACTCAAAAAAAATTTTTTTAAGAAAAAAATACATAAATTTAAAAAGTTTTTAATCCCAATTTAAAAATAAGTAAAAGACTTAGGTACTTCAAAGAATAATATATGCGAGTGGTCATGTGAACATTTAAAAGTATTCAACATCTTCAGTCATTAAGAAAATGAAAATAAAACCCCAACAGGCTACCCATTAGAATAGCTAATATTAACAAATGAACAACAAAAAAGAGTAGCTAATATTAAAATGACTGGTAATGCAAAGTGATGTGAAATATCTAGAATCACTTTGGAAAATCCTTTGGCAGTTCATTTTAATTTCTGCTTACATCTATTATATGATTCAGCAATACCATTCTTGGGTATTTAGGGAAATGAAATGAAAACATTTGTCCACCAAAAGACTTGTACATTCATGTTCATAGTATCTTTTCTCATTTGTAGCCAAAAACTGGAAAAACTATAGTCCATGAATATAAGAATAAATAGGCAACCTGATACATTCATACATTTAAATACTATTAGAAGAATAAACTGTTATACAAGATAACATATATAAGTCTCAAAAACATATTGAATGAAAAAAGCTATGCATAAAACTAAATACTATATGACTTTTAAGAACAAACGAAACCAATATGTAATAAAAATCAAAATAGTGCTTGTCTCTCAGGGGCAGGACATTGAATAGAAAAGGGATAGAGGAAATTTCCTAGGATAATAAAAATGTTCTATCTTGATTAGGTTGTTGCACAGCACAGGTATATATACATTTGATAAAATTCATTGACTTACATGCTTAAAATATCTGGCTTAATTGTTCATGAGTTCTATATCAATAATAAAAATTTAGATATTTAGAATAAGGAGAAACGGGCTTTGAGATCGTATAGATCTGGATTTGATCCTGGTTTCTTCACTTTAAAGCAGATGACCTTGAGCTAGTTATTGACTCACTGAACTTTAGTCTCCTTAAACGTAAAATAAAGGCAATAGCTTTAAAAGCTTTTGGCAAGGATAAATTTAGATAACACACATGAAATACTAGTACACTACCTGAATAGAGTAAGTACCCAATAGACAATAACTGCTATCATTGAGGCAGTATAATGTTGAGGTCAAGAGTGTGGGCTCTGGAACCAGATTACTTCTGAACCAGTGGCTTTGCCACCAGTTTACTGTGTCACATTGGGCAAGTTATTTAATCTTTCTGTGCCTTTGTTTCCTCAGTAATAAAATAGGATAATGGCACATACCTTAAATGGTTATTATCAGTATTAAGTCAAATATGCTTAGAGCACTTAGAATAATACCTGGCAATAGTAAGTGATCAGTAAATCCCCTATTACCTACTGTTATTATTCATTTTCTCATTTAACTTAGGTATTATGATGGTCTATCACTTCAAATCACTCCCTTACCATTATCCTGAAATTTTTAGTTGTTTAGTTACATGGAAAAGCTTTACTCAATTCATTAACTGTCCTTTTTTCCCCCTATATTTCAGTTGTTATATATTGTTTGGGAAAAGCGTACAACCATGCTGTGGAGAAGACTGCTAATATTTCACCAAAATTGGTCCTTTTCCTTTTTCTGTAATTACAGAGTTTTAGCTGGGCTCAGTGGCCAGACACTATATTTCCCAGCCTCTTCAGTGACTTAAGTTCTCATCAGAAGGCTACAAGCAGAAATGTGTATAACTTCAGACCTGGGCATTAAAATATTATATATGTGCTCCTCCAAGGTCTTTTCCTTTCTCTTAAGCTGGAATTGCCTGCAACCAACTTCAATCATGTAGGTGAGGAAAACACTGTAGGAGATGGCAAAAAAACGAAATAGAAAGAACCGAGGTGCCTGTGTGACCTCAAGCATTCTCCTTGGATTATTACATAAGAGAGAAATAAAATTCTGTCTTTTTGAAACCACTGAGTATTGAGGATCTCTATGTAAAGAAGCTTAACCTTACCCTAATTTTATGCCATTGCCTAAAGATTCTTTGTATTAGTCTTTATCTCCACATGGATCAAATCTTCACTACTCCTAAGTCTATCATGACACCCATACACAGATACATATTTTGTGGATGACTTTACCTCCTCCTTCAAAGAAAGAATGGCAGCCATCAGACAATTTCTACAATTTCCTGCCCCTGCATTTACAGACTTAATCTGCACTCAGTTTACCTCTTGTTCACCTGAGTGAAGTTTAGGTTTCCCTCTAGGTAATCTGTTTACCTTTATTTTGAATCCCTCTCTGTATCCTCAGGGACTTATCCCCTTCATCAATAATTTCCTCTCATCTCTCTTGTCAACTGTTAATTTTTTTCCCATCAACATTAAACATATCCAAGTCTCACCTAACCTAAGAAAGAAAAATCTTTTCCTCAATCTCACATCCTCAGTCTAGCTTCCATTCCATCATGTACTTACATGGCCCATATTCTTGAAAGAGTTCATTAAATTAACTGTTTCTGTTTCATTTCCCCTCCCTTCTCATGTGCCTGCAAGAGATCCAGCTTTTTTGGTTATTTCCCAGACATATCCCAGAACCTCCCATTAATGCTTTATATCCTTTAAATTCATTCTAGTTGTCAGATGTCACCTAAGCCAGAGAGGCAAAGCTAACAGGATAAGTATCCTGGTTGGCCATAGCAAACATTTTATTTCTTTTAAAGCTGTTCAAAAGATGCATGCATAATAGATGAGACCGTATTATTTTGTTTCCAGTAGATGTCCAATTAATTCCCCTTTGCTTGGATTCCATTGTTAGCATGTAACTTTATAAGTATACATTTGCTTCACACAAGCTTTTTATTAGTAAGATGAGACTATGATAGTGTGTCAGTATGACTGTCTAGTAAATTTCATTTATAAATTATTTGGGTTAAATATCAGTCTTCTATGAATGATTGCCATGTATCAGTTTTTCTAAATGAATAGATTTTGTTATCTACAAAGCTGAGTATCAAGCTATAAGCCACAGTAGGTTTATGAGGGAATACCATAACATGGCTCTCTTTTGAGGGGTCAGTTTACTGTCTGAAGGTAAAGCCTTATGTATTAGGCAGAGTGAACACAGTGTAGACTTAGGACAAATAAAACAACTTTTTGTTGACAGGGAAGAGGGGTATTGTTCTTAAATCTGGCCTTTCTCAAGGAGACATTTTTAAGAGCAAGGGGGCACCAAATATTGTACTTAATGGATTGGCAAAACAACTATAGGATAAAAGCAAAGTATAATTTAAAGGTGAGGGAGTACTGGAAAATCTTAGAATTAGGGCAATGTAAAGTGTGCTGTGCTTAGTCGCTCAGTCATGTCTGACTCTTTGTGACCCCATGGACTGTAGCCTGCCAGGCTCCTCTGTCCATGGGAATTCTCCAGGCAAGAACACTGGAGTGGGTTGCCATGCCCTCCTCCAGGGGACCTTCCCAACCCAGGACTTGAACCCATGTCTCCCACGATGCAGGCGGATTCTTTACCATCTGAGCCGCCAGGGAAGCAAGCCCAAGTAAACTGGAGTGGGGAGTCTGTGTAAATTAGGTCAAGCTATTAGAGCTGACGTGCTCTACTACATTATTTCAAACACTCCTGTCATAAGTGGCTCCAGTTATTTAACCAAGTAATGAAAGTTGGTGATAGACAGGGAGGCCTGGCGTGCTGCGGTTCATGGGGTCGCAAAGAGTCAGACACAACTGAGCGACTGAACTGAACTGACTGAATGAAAATCAACATAGACACAAGCTCACATCTAAAAGAAACTATGGCCTGCTTGAAAGAAAACAAGCATTAGCTGTAAGGAAGATACTTAATCAAAATGAAAAAGTATAGATACAGTAATGAAAATATTTAAGTTTCATTTTATTATGCTGTGTCATATAAAATATGCCATTGCCTCTACCAAGGCTTGAAATTTACTTAGCAGATTAATAAAATTGGTAAACAAAATGTGTTAAGTTTACTGAAATGTGTAATTCAATAAATGTCTGCTTTTGTTCTTGTACCTACTGATACGTTGTAGGGCTGTGGAGAATTAGGAAAATCAGAGAAACTGGGTATGAGGCATCCTGGAAGCCTAAGATTCTGGGGACCTATTTTTGTTACTCATGATTAAACTTCTAAGGAAATTTTTGAAATGTTTAAGAGAACAGTTTGTACTGAGAAATTTCACTGAGGATTGCTGGGCTAAGACTCATCTGTGAAATACACCAATGGGTGATTATTGAATCCCTTGTTCAGGTATAGTTGTACAGAAATAAATGTAGCTTTAGAAGTTGTACTGAATGAAACCTGAGAGGAAGCATGAGGGCACATAATTAAGTGAGGATTAAAGAAAACAAACAAGTGATTTAACTGTAGAAGATACCATAGGCCATACCAACTACTTGTGGACTGCAGATCGGGAAATTGGCACAAAGCCATGGTGCTGTAGTGAAGGATGATTCAGCTCTCCAGTCAGCTACTGGACATTCTATTCTACTAAAAACAGAGCAGTTGACTAAAAAGTAGGCTGATTATCAGGATAATTCTGTAAACAATGTAGGTAACTGCTACTTTTATTCTGATTGACAGTTAATGGATTTGAAAAATGATGAAAGAATTGAGCATATCATCTTGGAGTTAGTAAAATCTAGGCCTGCTAGGCATGATCAGAAATGTACCCTCAGGGAATTCCCTGGTTGTCCAGTGGTTAGGATGCAGGCTTTTCACTGCCATGGGCCAGGGTTTGATTCCTGATCAGGGAACTAAGATCCCACAAGCCATGTGTCATGGCCTCAAAAAAAAAAAAAAAAAAATCTTTTTTTAATGCACCTTCAAATTTATGAAAAAAATTTCAAAAATTAGGAGAAAAATGTGGCATCATCTTATGAATCCACAAAATGGTATAACCGAAGAGGCATGGAAAGCTCTAAAAATTATGAAGACATAATAACAGTATTGTGAGACTGAATGCCAACATTTTAAAATACTTTTATTTGCTTGGAGTCAGACCTTTCTAGGGTTGTTAGATACAGGATATAAACTAACATTATTACTAGAGACCCCAAATGCCTTCACTAGCTCCTCAGTTGAAGTAGAGGCTCATGAAAGCTAGGTGATAAATGGAGCCCTGACCCAAGCACACTCAATGGGTCCAAGGATCTACAAATCCACCTTTTGGTAATTTCTCTGGCCCCTGTACACACAATTGGAATGCATATACTTAGCAGTTGACCAAAAACCACCAAGGTATGAAAGTTCAGTTAGAAACCTTTGTACCTCTTTTCTAGCCAACAGTAAATCAGAAGTGATCCTGGAACCTAGGTGGAATTACTGAGATTAGTGCCAACATGAACAATTTAAAGGATGCATTATATTTTTATTCACTTCACTTGAGTGGTCCAGGTGAGGTGTAGAAGATGGTTTTTGACTAAAGTTAAACAAATGGCTGCTATGCCAGATGTGGTATCTTTATTTAGAGATCAACATAGCCTGGCACTTCATATTCAGCTATTGATCTTCAAAACCATTCTGTCAGTTCTCAAAAGAAAAAGATCAAAAACAAGTTGCTTTTAAATAGGAGGGCATCAATAAATTGTACCCATGTATTCTTAGGCCAGTCTCCCAAGGCAATAGAAGTAAAAGCAAATATAAATGGGACCTAATCTATTATCTAGGGTGAAACAGATCACCAGCCCAGGTTGGGTACATGAGAAGTGCTCGGGCCTAGTGCACTGGGAAGACCCAGAGGGATCGGGTGGAGAGGGAGGTGGGAGGGGGGACCGAGATGGGGAATACATGTAAATCCATGGCTAATTCATTTCAATGTATAACAAAAACTACTGTAATGATGTAAAGTAATTAGCCTCCAACTAATTAAAAAAAAAAATGGGACCTAATCAAGCTTATATGCTTTTGCACAGCAAAGGGAACCATAAACAAAAGCCAAAGACAAACTACAGACTGGCAGAAAATATTTGCAAATGAAGCAACTGACAAGGGCTTAACTTCTAAAATGTACATATGGCTCATATAACCCAATAACAAAAAAGCAAGCAACCCAATAAAAAAACTGTGTAGAAGACCTAAATAGACAATACTCCAAAGAAGACATACAGATGCCCAAGAGGTACATGAAAAGATGCTCAACACTGCTAATTATTAGAGAAATGCAAATCAAAACTACAATGAGGTAGTCAGAATGACCATTACTAAAAAGTCTACAAATAACAAATGCTGGAGAGGGTGTGGAGAAAAGAGAACCTTCGTACACTGTTGGTGGGAATGTAAATTGGTGCAGCTACTATGTTCAAGGGAGAATAGTATGGAAGTCCCTTAAAAAACTAAAATTAGAGTTGCCATATGATCCAGCAATCCACTCCTTGGATTTCCTGATAAAACTCTAATTTGAAAGATATATGCACCCCAATGTTCATAGCAGTGCTATGTACAATAACTGAGAAAAAATGGAAGCAACCTAAATGTCCATCAACAGATGAATGAATGGATAAAGAAGATATGGTATATATACATGATGAACTATTACTGGGTCATAAAAAAACATGAAATAATGCCATTTGCAGTATTATGGATGGGCCTACACATTATCATACTAAGTGAAGTAAGTCATAAAAAGACAAATACCTTATGATAGCACTTATATATGTAATCTAAAATATGACACAAATGAACTTACTTATGAAACAGAAACAGACTCACAGACTTAGAAAACAAACTTATGGTTACCAAGGGTGTAGGATAAATTAGGAGTTTTGGATTAGCAGATATAAAATACTATATGTAACAGATAAACAATAAGGTCCTGCTGTATAGCACAAGGAAATACATTCAATATCCTGTAATAAACCATATGGAAAAGAATATGAAAAAGAATATATACATTTATGTATAACTGAATCACTTTTCTGTACAGCAGAAACATACACCATTGTAAATCAGCTGTACTTCAATTTAAAAAAATAGTCATGTCAGCAGTACATACAAGCTGTCTTGAGTCTACATTAATGCTCCCTGAAATTTGTCAAAATAATCTGCCTGGACCTCGATTGTCTTAATAGTCCATAAAACCATTTTGCCAGTGCATGATTCTGTATATTTAGTATATAATGACATACTACTCAGACTTGGCAAGCAGGAAATGACAAATACTCTTGAAACTCTAGTGGGAGACATACTTGCCAGAGAGTGAAAGATAAGTCTGTAAAGATTCAGACACCTGCCACATCATTGACATCTTTGAGATTCTGGTGGTCTAGGAATTGATGAAACAACCCTTCTAAGTAAAGAGCAAGTTATTATACCAGGTACTCCATACTAGGGAACACAACGCTTGATGGATCTATTTAAATTTTGGAAACAGTATATACTGCTCCAAACTGTTTATTTTGAAATTTAGAAGGTTGTCAGATTTGAGTGAGGATGATTCTATGATAGGTCCAGGCTGCAATGCAAGTTGCCCTGCTCCTCAGATCATGTAATTTGGCAGATCCCTTGGTAGTAGAGGATCCATGGTAGAGAAAAACATTAAGAGGAATCTCTCACAAGCTTTAATGAGAGAGCTATAGCACAAATCCCTAGGATTCTGGAGCAAGGTCATACTTTTTGTAGCAGAGAATTATATGCTTTTTGAAAAGCATCTCCTGACATACTATTGATATAACACATGTGCATGAGACATCAAGTAACTGCTACAAGAGCTTCCATTAATGAGCTAATTTAGTAGCAATGTATTAAACAATGAAAATGATAGTACAGAGACCAAACTTGGGGAGTTTGGAAGGCACAAATAGGGTACATGAAAAAGGGAGCTAGACCCCCGTGTCACCATCTGTATTACAGTAAGATGTCTCCTTTAGCTCACACCTACATGGCTTTACTGGGGGGATGGTCTGTAAGATGGCCGATGGAGGAAGGAGTATTACAGTAAGATGTCTCCTTTAGCTCACACCTACATGGCTTTACTGGGGGGATGGTCTGTAAGATGGCTGATGGAGGAAGGAAAAGCTTAGACTTGGATTAAAGAGGAATTGACTCCATATGTTGCATGAGCCAAAATATGGAATGATGCTAAGCTATAGCAGTGTTGGGGGGAAGTCTTCTAAGTGAGTAGAACTATGAGATTGACCATAACACTTTTAAGTTAGAAATAAATAATAAAGAAGATAATAGAAAAAGCTGTGTATGTAAGAAACACATTTCTGATTAACTCATAAGTCAAAAAAGGAATAATGGAAAAATTGTAAATGTTTTGAACTGAAGTATAGCATAGTACTATGTTTCAAAGCTTGTGTGAATACAGCTAAAACAGTATTTAGAGAAGTCTATTATAACCACCAATAGATACACTTTTTTTAAAA